AAGGATGACCATGGTGTTGATGATGCTCTTGATGACATAGCAGAAGATCCTTAATTAAGCTTCTTTATTTTACTTGTTTCTGGATATTTTATTGTATTTCAGTATTACTTTGTTGAAGTTTAAACCATAAGCATAAAAACTAGAGAATACAATTACAAATATAAGAAATATAGAATTTAATTAAATATTGTCAATTCAATGATCGGTAAATTATATAATGACTCTTTTCTTTTTAAAAGTATTAAAGAATCCTCTTAATCCCTACAAAAAGGACGTTTACCAAGACATATAAAGACTTAGAAACAACAATTGATGTTTGAAAAAAAAAATCATAAACCTTCGGCATTAACGTAGTATCCTAGCTTAGAATTCAATGAGAGTACAACATTCTTGATGACGGTTGCAAAATAGAGAATATAATTTGAAGTTAATCCTAATCTTCTATTCTCCTCCTTTTTATCGATAGACCAGATAACTTCTATCAAATGGATGGATCCCAAACTCTTCTTACACCCAAAGATCTGGCCCCACTATTTTCAATCACTTGATTGTCCTTCCCTACTAGCCAACTGCAAGCAATCATATGTATGACCACAACATAAACACCACCAAAATTCAGGTTTTTTTTTAATTTCTTTATAATTTATGTTATTTTTGTTTTTATTAACATTCTACATGCTATATACAAATATAAAATACAAGTTATATATATATATATAAAAGGAGCATATTAAGTATGAGAGAATTTATTATGAGAGGTAAGAGGGTTAAAATATAACCTTTAAATTAATCAAGTGAGAGAAAATTTGGAGTTTAATCAAATGAGAGAAAATTAATCTAAGTTACATTTTAACAGGCTTAAAATAGATAAATAACCCCAAAAACATTAATTTCAAAGTGTAAGCATTTTCCAACAAACATCCAAAAGGATCAAGTCCAAAGAAGAACATTTTACATGCATAATGATAATGCATTGACCTGTCAAACATAATTTTCATCAGATTCATTGAGTGCATTTTTAGCAGAGTACTTACTGAAGTAATCGTAAAAACCGGGTGATTTTACTTTGATGAATATCGCCTTCTTCAGCACAAGCTTCACTTAGACAATGGCTAGTTAAAATCAGGTACAACATCATGTTCTTATTTGACATTTTGACAATTTCTATACTAATATGAAAGTGCATTTTCTTAGTTTCAGGAAATAATAATATATGGGTGTTTAATTGTTTATTAAAATAAAATACAAAAGGAAAGAAAGAAAATGATGCTCACCAGCTCCAAAAGAATGCTTGGTGCGCTTGAGTTTCTGAAGCTGAACCTGCGTTTCCATGAAGAGTTGCATCCTCTGGTATTCCAAACCCTCAACCATTTGTCTCTGCGTTTCTGCGTGACGGATCGGGGGCCGACGGGATGGGAGGAAATCATCCAGGCCACCGGCGGCGACCGACGGGGAGATTTTTCTGAGCGGGAAAGTGTCACTGATGAGGGCATCGAGGCAGGGGAAGAAAGGCCAAGGGCTACGATAGCCGGCGTCGGAATCGGAAACCCTAGCCTTCTCAATCTTGTACTTCTTGAGCGTGTCGATGCGATTCTTGCACTGAACGTCGGTGCGGAACGATTTTTTGCCGGCATCGCCGACGTGGAGGCTATTGACGGTGTCGACGACCTCCTGCTAGTGCTTCTTGCAAAGGTTGCCGCGATTGAGCTCCCCACGCCTCAATGAGCGTGAACGTCGCCTCCTTGCCCCACACTCAAAAACCCTATAGGCACTGAAAAGAATTTGCTCATCCTTTGTAATAATAGGAAATTAAGGGAATTAAAAATATAGGATTAATTTTGTTATTAGTTGTTTTTCGGTTGAAATTAGGATTATGGCCCGGGGAAAAGGTTGTATATGTGGGAAGTCATAATTATAAATAGACCCTATTGTACAGAATTGGATTATGAAAATAAGAAGTTCAATATTCAGTTTCCTCTACTATTTCTAAGAGAATTGTGAATGAGTGAGTGCAACTAAGGTTAGCAGGTATAACCCTGACATTGGTATCAGTTAGCGTGGGACGTTTGGTGTTAGGAAAGAAAGCAGAAACATGTTAATAAAACCAGCCATTTAGGCGGATCCAGCCATATAGGCGGCAACAAATAAATAAAACAAGCTAGATGATGATAGACAAAGAAAGAAAAGAAAGTAGACAACACAAGAATTTTACGTGGTTCACCCTTACACTAGGGCTACATCCACGGGACCAACTCCGAAAATATTTTATTACCACCTTCCACAAATTGTGGGAATACAGAACTCTTCACTCAACAAACACTCACTCTACAAGAGGAAACTTGTGTTTTTGAGTAATTTCTGAGTTGATTTACAAGTGAAATGGGGAGGCCTATTTATAGTTGAAGCTCCAAGGACAATCTCGTAAATATCCTAAAGCTTAGGGGCAAAATCGTAATTTTCCC